TGTTTCTCAGCACCTTGCCCTCAGAACTCTTGGAAATGAAGAGAGCCAAATGAAAGCAAGAGAAGCCAGGAGCTTTGGAGGCAGTAGTGACAGGAAGCGATCAGAAACTTTTCCCTTCCTCTTTAGGCTTAGCTCAGGCACTCGGTTCAGACAACACCGTCAGGTTTCTTCCTGAGACCCTAATCCCACCTACGTGTGAAGGATAGGTCCCAGAATTCTGTGGGTTTGTCACACACTGTCTCAGCATTCATGAATCCAGTTAGTCAGTCAGCCAGGCAACAAATATTCTCTGAGCTCTGGCTAGCTGCCAGACTGTGGTAACAAGCTTGACACCTTTAGGCTGCTGGAATGAGGTTAAGAGCACGGTCAGTTCCTTAGCTCTGTCACTCACTCGTGTGACCGCAGGAAGTCATGGAATCTCTCTGTGTCAGCTGGGATAGCAATAACATACCTGCCCAGCATTAAGCACCATGGAGAGATTTGATATTATTCTCTTGTCTTTGAATAACTCTAGTCTGACGGGGAGACTAACGAGCCTCTCATCTCAATGCCAGGGAGAGAGTTAGGTCCTGGTCACTGGGAGACCAGTGGGGGAGGCTTCTGGCTTGCACTCCACAAACATTTATGGAGGGCTGCCTGTGCCAGGCACTGTGCAGGGCACTGGGGACACAGATGAACAAGACACATTGTTCACTCATCCCTGTCGCACCCCCAGGACTCAGTTCCAGAGGCTGGTGGGATGGGGGGGCACAGTACCAAGGGCAGAACCCCTGGGAGCTTGGGGTTCAGAGGGCCTAAATCCTCATCTGCCACTCACAGTCTGAGGGGCATGACACGTTCGGGCATCCTTCTCCTCTTTAGCATGAGATGTTAAACAAGACGGGCCCTTTGGTTTTGACCACTCTGACAGGTATTGAATAGCCCCCCTCCCAAGGGCTTAACTCTACCCACGCCCAAAGCCAAGACCATCTGGGCCTGATGTCTCCCTGAGATGGTGGAGAAGACACTCGCCCGGTACAGCCTGGCACTGCCCTGCTGACGCACTGGCATCAATTCATGAGAAACAGGGGCCTAGATCTGAAGGCGGGTTGTTTGAAGGGGGGGTGAGCGTGGGGAGAGGCAGTGCCAACTCCCACAGGCCCTATTCATGACAGAGTCCGGGTGGCAGAGCAGGATAATTAAGACCAGGCTTTGTCTAAATCCCTGACCAAGCCAATACCTCACCTCTGAACCCCTGCAGCCAGCAGAGTGGGACCAAGACCACTAGATGGAGGGGAGAATGCCGGCCAACTGTCACAGGCCTGCAGCACTGGGGCCAGCCTGGGGAGGTGGGGAGGGAGACCAAAGAACAAGGAATGGTTGCCCCACCCACAAACACTGAGGGACACCTGAGGCTGTGCCACCCTGGTGACCAGCAAGGACAAGTAAGCAAGCTCCAAATCAGCAGAGGAGGATTTGATGTGGATGCTACTAAAATGGGCACAGATTCAAAGGAGCGCCGTGGCTGGGCAGTGAGAACCACCCATGACTCTAGAACCCGGTGGCCCCTTCCTCCCGACTCTTGTTCTCTCTCTCTCTTTAAACAAATAAATAAATAAATAAGATCCTTTTAAAGATTTATTTATTTATTATGTATACAGTGTTCAGCCTGCATGCCAGAAGAGGGCAAGTTATCTCATTATAGTTTGTTCTGAGCCACCATGTGGGTGCTGGGAACTGAACTCAGGACCTTTGGGAGAGCAGCCAGTGCTCTTAACCTCTGAGCTACCTCTCCAGCCCTCAACTCTGTTCTTTATGAACAATGTAGCTTTGCTCACACCATTAGCTCACTCTGCCTCAGGGTCCCCAACTGTAAGATGGGACAATGAGGGGCTGGAGAGATGGCTCAGTGGTTAAGAGCATTGCCTGCTCTTCCAAAGGTCCTGAGTTCAATTCCCGGCAACCACACAGTGGCTCACAACCATCTGTAATGAGGTCTGGTGCCCCCTTCTGGCCTACAGGCATACACACAGACAGAATATTGTATACTAAATAAATAAATAAATAGATATTTTTTAAAAAATGGGACAATGACAGCACCAACCTCGATGTGATACTGTAACAATTAAAAGAGTGAACTATATAAATCCTGACCCAGAAGAACTGCTACCAAATCTTAGCTATCACCGAGGATGCTGAGATAGACAAAGTCAGCCTGGACTACGTAGCAAGAGATTCTGGAAAAAAAAAAAAAAACTCTAGCACTAATGTATATGCTCATTTAAATATATTTGCATGTTCTCTGGATCTCTCTGCATTGGAATCCAGCATCACAGGACTCTGCCTACTGAAGGCTATATCCCTGTACCATGCTCCAAGCTGCTCTGGGGTGCTGCAGCTCACAAACCTGTCCTTGGGAGTTCTTCTGAATAACTAACCCCAATCTCTCACCCCAACACAGTCCAGTCATCTGCTCTGTAATTTATCTTTTATACTATTATTATTTTTTAAAAAAAATATTTATTTATTTATTATGTATACAATATTTTGTCTGTGTGTATGCCTGCAGGCCAGAAGAGGGCACCAGACCTTATTACAGATGGTTGTGAGCCACCATGTGGTTGCTGGGAATTGAACTCAGGACCTTTGGAAGAGCAGGCAATGCTCTTAACCTCTGAGCCATCTCTCCAGTCCCCTATACTATTATTATTATTATTATCATTATTTGTGTGTGTGTGGTTTTTTGAGACAGGGTTTCTCTGTGTGTCCTGGTATCTGCTTTGTAGACCAGGCTGGTCTTGAACTCACAGAGATCCGCCTGTCTCTGCCTCCTGAGTGCTGGGATTAAAGGCATGCGCCACCACACCCAGCTGTAGTCTGCCTTTTAACTTTACACAAGAAGTTTCAAAGTAGGGCTGGAGACATGGTTCAGCTGTTAAAGGTGAGGCTCACAACCAAAAATTAAGAGTTCAGTTCCCAGTACCCACTGCTATCTCTCCAGCCACAAAGAAAGGGGGTGGGGGGCTCAAAGTATCTTTGCAATGAGAGATGAAGCAACCCACTGCCCACTCCCACACTGCCCTGCTTTGTAATACCACACCCTCCCTCACTCCTACTCCCAACTATGCCAACAACACTGCATCCTTTTGTCATGAGTTCAGGGTTGCCCTGAGAGGACACAGCAGGCCTCATCCACACTACCCACACAAAAGGGTTTTTCCCCAGGTCCAGTTCCCTCAGCGTCAGCAGAGAACCACACAACAGTGCTGCACCTCCCCAGCAATATACAAGATTTCTTCCTAATAACCCACCCCCAAGCTTCCCATGCCCTAACCACCACCAGAACTCAAGTGCCAACCCAACAATGCCCCCATACCTTTAGGTCAGACCCTATCTGAAAATAAACACTAACGTCGCCAGGCATGGTACCACACACCTCTAACCCCAGCGCTCCTGAGGCAGAGACCAAGCGGATGAACCAGAGCAAGTTCCAGGACAGCCAGGCCTACAGAGGGAGACCCTGTCTGGACAAAACAAAAAATAAAACAGGCACTAACACTTTTACTACACAGTACCAGAGGGCTTTGGGACCCCGGAATCTAGCATTGCAGGGAATGGATCCACTGCTCTCATATTGAATGGGGAAGGTAGGGCCTAGGACACTGGGCCTTGGAGTTCCCAGGCTTCTGGGGGGTGGATCCAACCACATGTGGGCAATGGGAGAAAGACACCAAGGCTGGGGACCTTTGGGCCAAGTTTGCAGGCCAAATGAATGGTTCTGCAATGGAGATTCAAATCTCCTGCCGTCAGCTCTGGCCACTTTGGAAAATGAGGCTGTTGCCCTGGCAGAGGGGAGAACCACACGGGATCAAAGGCCACCCACTAGTAGCCCACAGGGGGATATGGGTGGAGGCAGTAAGGGGTCAGGGATGAAGTACCTGCAGTTTGTGGGGGGAGAATCCGAAAGACTCAAGCCTAATGGCCTCAACTCCCGGGGCCCCCCCCCCCCCCCCCCCCCCCCCGCGCCCCCGTCCATCCTGAATTTCAAGTTTATAATTAGGAAACACACTTTGGCTGTAGGGAGGGGTAGAGAAGCCAGAGCAGCCGACTGAGGGAGAATGTAACACGTCCAGTTTAGACATCAGAGTCTCCTAAAGAGTTTGCTAAGTATATGCCCGCGGGACCAACACCCCAGGACAGGAGCCCGCTGGAGTGTCAAAAGAGGGTGAAACTTAGTTCTAGCCTTGACCCTAAAACTGGACCCCAGGGATGTCTTTCCCAAATTCAGGAAAACTACTGACCAGGCAGTGTTCAGTCCTTTGGTTGGCACTGCCATTGCGAGCTGGAGGAGCAGGGTGGGGGTGAACGCACGGAACCGACAACCAGACTCCAAGGCAGGGGACTGACCCTGTTGGGAAGGTGAGGGCCCTTCCCCAGCCTCAGCAGCTGGCAGATGAAAGAACCCAAGCAAAGCAGCCCAGCGCTGAGTAATGCCCCTGGCACCCCGCTCCCGGACCCACCCACAACCCGGAGCGGGCAGAGGAGAGGGCCGGGCAGGGCTGGGGTCCCAGTCCCGAGCCCAGCAGCCCACAACGCAGTCCCAGCCGGAGGGGGCCAGCCGAGGACGTCCCGCCCCAGGACCCCTCCCCCACTCCCTGTAGCTCCAGCTGTGCGGGGGCCTCGCCAACGGAAAACGAAAACTCGGGCAGAGGAAACGGCGGCGGGCGCCCCGCCTGAAAATCCCGGACAAAAGGCGCGCGGGCCTCCCACCCCCGCTGCCGGGCAGCCCAGGGCCTGGCACCACCACCGACTGGGTGGCCCCGGCCCGGTAGCCCCGGGCCCGTCGGGGGTCCTGCGCGACGACCCCCTTCTAGCCCCAGCCTAGCGCAGCTGTTCCTCCTGCCGCTCCCCAGCGGGACACCAAACTCCCGCAGCGGTGCCCATCGACGGCGGCGCAGTGACCCCAGCCCGGACGTAGCCCCCGGTCCCGCCCCAGCCTGGCCCGGGTTCTGAGTCCTCACCTGGGGTGGCCGGGGCTCCGGACGCGGCGGGATCCCGACCAGGCAGAAAGCGACTCCATTCATCGGGCCGCAGTGGAGGCTCTGCGGCCAGGGCACGGTTGGGGGTACGGGCCGGGGCCCAGGGGGCGGGGGGGGGGGGCCGGGAGCAGAGGGGCGGGGCCAGAGGGGGCGGGCTCTGTGCGACTCCGCCCACCTACTCCCACCCCGCCCCACAAGCCACGCTCCAGAACCGGCGCAGCCAGTGGTCTTTTCACATGCTGAGCAGAAAAGTAAAGGGAAGCGAAACAGGGATATACACGGACCATGGAGCCAAGGGTCAGAAACGAACCTGGTCCAGAGACAAGGTCTCAGGGAAGCTTCTGGAGAGAGGGCCTGCATGGGACCGGCCCAGACAGATGTTGAACGGTGAGCACAGGAAGAGGATGCGGGCACTGAACTCAGTAATAGCACAAGGAAAGGCAGCTAGAGTGGGACAGAAACGGACCCCGAGGTCCAGAAAACCTGTGAGTGGTGGAGACAGGATGAAACGACCTTATCTCATTCAGGGAAAGATGGACAAGGCTTGGGGCGGAGACTCTTAGGGTCTCATGGAAGTGAGACACATTAGATGTGGTGTGAGGTATGTTCCCCCACCAATTTGGAAAAGACCCCTCCCAGGAAGAGGGGATGGTACCACGATGGCAGCAGAGTCAAGACTGGAAGGGAATTCTGACAGACGTCTAGGGCATTAGGTGCCCACCGCAGCGCTGTGTCTCAGACCTCTGGTCCTGCAAAGATAGGTTCTGCCAAGGCAGCCATCCTAGGTGACACTCCCAGCTCCTAGCTACCCTTCCTGCTCCACGGGGAGCTAGGCCTAAAGAGACACTCCTGGCCTGAGCCAGCCACTTACTTCCCAGTTCTCCAACAGAATCCCACCGTTTCCCCAGCTCACAGGCCCCCACACGATCCAGTGAGAACCAGTACCTCAGGCCTTCATTGAGCTGGGAAGTTCTTTTTCTACCTAAATCTCATCTGTCCTCTTCCTCCAGTCTATACTGACCTCTTTCTGAGCCTTCTACAGGATTTTTTGTTTGTAGGTCTTTCTTTTTCTTCTTTTATAGAACATGTAGACTTGATCAGCCTGGAACTCCCTATGTAAACCAGGCTGATCTCTAACTCACAGAAATCCACCTGCCTCGGCCCTCTGAGTGCTGGGATGGAAAAGCCCTATTTCGGGTTTTCCTGGTATGACTTGGTTTGATATTTTTAAGACAGAGGACTGCAGAGTGGTATTGAACCTTATCCCTCAGTTTCCTGAGTACCATTATCCTGGGATAATGATCATGAGCCACCACGTCTGACTCCTTTCAATCTTAAAGGCTTCTCTTTCCCTTTCCCCAGATTATGAGGTGGGAAAAAAGCAGATATCCCCAAGAAATAGTCATTGATTTCAGGGGAGGCAGGCAAAGCAGAAAGAATTAAGTATCCTCCAAAGACACCCTCCCTGAGCCTGGAGACCTCATAAGAATGTTCGCTTTACCACTACCTCCTCCAGGACAGACCCAAGTCGCCAAGCCCACCCCTAGGGCTGTGGCAAGGGAGACCTCTTTCCTCCTGAGAGCCCCAAGGCCACTGATAGGCACTCAAAAGAATTCTCCTGTAACTGTAAAGGCCTCTCTAACTTTTTTCAGCCCACCAAGGTCAGAAGCCAGAATTACCCCCTCCTCCTAAAACGTCCCTAATTGTCATCCATCACAATGCCTGGATCTTCTCCATTTCAACAGAGTACCAGTTCCTGCCCCTTCTGCCTGTCACTCCAATGTCGCAAGGCATGTTGCCCTTCCTGGCACAAGGGTTCTTTCCTCCCAGTACAAAGGGTTGTCTCCGTAAGGAGAGCAGATTTGAGTTGAGGCTGTGGGGGCAGGGAGGAGGGTGGTGGCCCCTGGGGTGCCCCTGGTTCACGTTTTCCAGAGCCTGATGCCCTCAGACCCTACAGGAGGTAGTAAGAGGAAATGAGCTCACGCTGACCGGCAGGCCAATTCCTCCCTCCACAATGCACAGCACGAACCTCCTCCACCCCCTCCCACTTCCCAGAAAGTGCACTGTCCCCCACCCTGCTGCTCCTCCCACCTCTTCCTGCACCTTGACCTGCACCCCCCTCGCCTGCCAGTCATTTCTATCCATCTTCTCCAACCTTCTTCTCCTACCCTCCACACACACCACACACATACACACCACACACACACATACACCCCCCACACACACACATACACACCACCACACACACACATACACACCACCACACACACACCACCACCACCACACACACACACACATACACACCACCACACACACATACACACCACCACACACACATTCTCTGTCTATCTTCTATCCGGGTTCCCCATCTTCTGTCTCTGTGTGACTCTATCTGTACATCCTACCATCTGCCCCAGGAACCACTTTCTTCTTTCTAGGATCTTACTATGGACAAGCGTGCTCTCGCTGAGCTGATGATGACCCTCGTGGGGGATCCCCTTCACCAGTCCAGTCATGGCTGCTGACTCAGTTCTACCACAGGAAGGAGGGGACCTGCAAGGGTGTGGCAGGTGGCCCTGGGGATATAGGAACCAGGCCCTGTTCCTTCCCTTCAGTGACTTGATCTTCCTGACCCATGAGTCTATGGTGAGACCCCCCCGAGCAGCCATGGAAGGCTAGAGAAACAGGACAACTGCCTATCAGAGCTGCCTCTGTCTGGATCTGTGGGCTTTGTAGCTGAGCAGACCTGCATGAGGGGAACAGAGAGAGAGGCTAGGTGGGGAGCAGGCTCCTCATGGACAAAGGCAGGGAGGGCTGTGGTGTGTGGGCAGGAAGTGTGAAGGGATGAGGAAGGAGACAGGAGGGTGTGAGAGACGTTGTGAGAGCCGTGGTTCAGGCACTTAGGTTCTGCTCTGGCTCCGGAGAAACATGAGGTAGTGATGTGTTTTGTTACCTCAGGCACACAGTGAGGATAGGAACCAAAGACAGTGAAAAAGGAGGTTAGCGATGTGGGGTAAACAACAAATGTCAGAGGCTTTGGAACTAGGGGAAGGGCAAGGCAATGGAAGAATCTAGAACAATTTCAAGGCTTAGACTACTAGATAGTTTATGTAGGATGGTCCTAGGAGAGTGAACATGTCAGGTATCAAATCGTGAGATAATGCTTCAGTTAAAGTTATGAAGGCCTTGCTATGCAAAGAATTTACTATTTTGTTTAATGGACAAGGAAACTAGGGTTCAACCAACTTAAATACTTGTGTGGTTTTGTTTTGGTTTGGTTTGGTTTTTCAAGACAGGGTTTCTCTGTAGCTTTGGCACCTGTCCTGGAAGTAGCTCTTATAGATCAGGCTGGCCTCAAACTCACAGAGATCCGCCTACCTCTGCCTCCTGAGTGAGTGCTGGGATTAAAGGCTTGCGCAGCCACCACCTCCCGATGAGTCCACACACTTAAACCACACTCAGTGAAATATTCACTGGCTGCTTAAATCACGGGTCTGGTCGCTACGCAGAAGACAAGCTTGAGCTAGAGTCTAGAAGTCCGGAGAGATGGGAAGCAGCTGAAGAGTCTCTGAAGACAGTAAGGAATGGGGTGACCACATGAAGGACAGAACCTGGAGGAACAGCAGCCTTTAGGGACAGGCAGAAGAGACACACAAGCAAGTGGCATTGTATGGGGCAGAAAGGACTCCTGGTAGATTGGTGGGAGCCAATGGGGGTCAACTATGTATATGGGCAGAGCTAAGGAGAGGCTGTGAAACTGGGCAGGAAGGTGGCGTGAGGGTGGGGCAGGGCAGGCCACTTGACAATCCAGGTGAGCCTTGGGCGAGGCAGTGTGATGCTTGAGTGGGAAAATGAGAAAAATCAGATGAGACCAGGTACCTGAGAAGGCCTGAGGGACAGGGAAGCTGAGCCAGGCATGGTGGCTCATGTCTGTGATCTCAGCATTTGGGAGGCTGAGGCAGGAGGATCACAAGTCAGAAGTCACTGTGGTCTAGACAGCGAGTTTGAGGATAGCCTGGGCTACATAATCAGGCCCTGTCTTCAAAAACCAGAGTTGGGGGGGGGGAAGCTGGAGGGATGGCTAGGCAGTTAAAAGTACCCACTGCTCTTGTAGGAGACCCAGGTTTGGTTCCCAGCACCCACACAGCAGCTCATAACCCCCAGTAACTCTAGTTCCAGGGGTCCAGCACTCTTTTTTGGCCTCAGTGGGTACCAGATCCAAATGTGGTACACATACATATACCCAGCTAAATGCTCATCCATCTAACTTACAAATAACTAGCTGGGTGTAGTGGTGCACACTTTTAATCCCAACACTTGGGGGGCAGAGGCAGGTGGGTCTGTGAGCTGGAGGCCAGTCTGGTCTACAGAGTGAGTTCCAGGGCAGTCAGGAGTGTTACACAGAGAAAGCCTGTCTCAATAAACAAACAAACAAACAAACAAACAAATATTTAAAACGTTTATTTTAAGGGTGACTAGATAAATGGCTCAGCAGCTAAGAGCAGTGGCTCTTATAAATGACCCAGGTTCAGTTCCCAGTATCCACATGGTGGCTCACAACCATCTACAACTATAGTTCAAGGGGATCCAGTGCACTTTTCTGAGCTCCACAGGAACCGGGCACACTTGTAGTGCACAGACATACATGCAGGTAAAATACCCACATGCATAAAATAAATATATCTTTAGAACCCTGTTGTATTTTTTAGTATAGGGCCAAGCAAAATGGTGCAGCAAGTTAAGACAGTTGGCTCCAAGGCTAATGTCTGAGTTCAGCCCCCAGAATCCTCACGGTGAAAAGCAAGAACAAACTTGTCTTTTGACCTCCACATGTGCACAGTGGCAGGTATGCAGGCATGTGCACACAAATAGACACACAAAAACCAATGCTTTGTTAAAAACCAACAATAATATTTGAAGGCTGGAGCGATGGCCCAGTGGTTAAGAGCACTGGCTGCTCTTCCAGAGGACTCAGGTTCAGTTCCCAGCATCCACACTGTGGTTCACAACCATCTGTAACTCCCGCTCCTGGGGACGGAACAGCCTCTTCTGGCCTTCACTGGCACCACGCACACACATGGCAGCCAGATACATACG